GGCATGGAACTCGAGGAGGGACGGGGCCAGCCAGTGGCGCACAGCTGTGAATTCAGGACTGGTGGGTGAATTCAAGCTGGCTTAAGTCACCGAGTGGGATGGGCCTAGGATTGGTGGTGATCTACCTGGGCTGAGAGAAACACACACCTGACGTGGAGGCCTAAGGGACTCTGTCTGGTCTGAAATGTTTGTTATTTTTTTCTTTCTTTCTTTCTTTTTTTTTTTTAAAATATATTTTATTGATTTTTCACAGAGAGGAAGGGAGAGGGATAGAGAGTTAGAAACATCAATGAGAGAGAAACATCGATCAGCTGCCTCCTGCACACCTCCCACTGGGGATGTGCCCGCAAACAAGGTACATGCCCCTGGCCGGAATCGAACCCGGGACCCCTCAGTCCACAGGCCGATGCTCTATCCACTGAGCCAAACCGGCTAGGGCGTTTGTTATTTTTTTCAATGATGAATTGTTAAAATGTAGGAAAGTAAAGAAGACTGAGCATTTGCAAAGAGCTGACATTGGATGGCTGGTGGCCAGGTGCTGTCCCCAGATCTTCACCTAGCATACTATGAGGGGTTGGTAGCATTAGATTCCCGTTTCACAGGTGAGGCACAGAGAGGCCAAGACATTTGAGAGAGGTCACACAGTGGGCTGGTGTGAATCCAGACCTGCTCTAGTTAACCCAAACTCAGCAATGGGCCATCCTACATGCTTACAACAGAACCATGTGTTATATTTTTCCTTGTATTTGAATTTCATTGTTTAAGCTTTCATTTCGGTAAAATATAACATAAAATTTGCCATTTTGCCTGTGAAGTTTAGTGGCATTAAGTACATTCACCAAATGTGCCATCATCACCATTACGTACTTCCAAAATTTCTCATCGCCCCAAACAGAAACCCAGTACCCATTAAGCATCTCCCCCTGCCTCAGCCCCTGGACACTTCTGATCCACTTTCTGTTACTATGGATTTGCCTGTTCCAGATATTTTATATAAATGGAATCATTCACTCTGTGGTTTTTAGTGCCTGGCTTCTTCCACTCAGCGTGATATTTTCGCAGTTCATCAAAGTTGTCCTGTGTCGTCAGTGCTTCACTCTTTTTCATGGCTGAATAATATTCCATTGTATGGATGGACCATTTTTGTTCGTCCATTTCATTAGTTGATGGACATTTGGTTTGTATCCATCTTCTGGCTACTGTGACTAGTGCTGCTATGCACGTGTGTGTACAAGGATCTGTGAGTCGCAGCTTTTAATTTCTTTGTTACACAGGGTGGGGCAAAAGTGGCTTTACAATGGCCAGGATGCAAAACAGTTTATTCTTCTATTATTATTTATTCGTTATTTATTATTTTCCATACGAATATCTGTAAAACCACTTTTGCCCCACCCTGTTTTTTTCCTACACACACATTTTCTATATAATACTGTCATGGACATTACTTTTTAAAAACAATGTTATTACCTTATGATTGACGTACCAAAAACTGCACACACTTAGCATGTACAATTCAATGTGTTTGGCATATGTCTACACCTTGAAACCGTCACCTTTATCAAGATAATGAACACAGCCATCACCCCAGATGTTCCCTCCTGCCTTTGTCATCCCGTCCCTCCACCCCTCCCCAGGCTACCTTCTGACCTGTTTCCTGTCTGTTTACATTCATTCATTTGTACTTTCTAGAACAGCTTATAAACAAAATTATCCAGTGTGTAGCCTTTCGGGTCTGGCCTCTTTTACTCAGCATAATGCCTTAGAGGTACATCTGTATTGTTTCGAATGCCGGTAGTTCATACTTTTCACTGATGAGAAGGATTTTGTTGTATGTTCATCCATTTTCCTGAAGATGGATATTCTAGTTGTTTCTAGTTTGGGACAATTGCAAATAAAGCTGCTGTGAGCAATTATATACAAGGCCTGCTTTCATTTCTCTTAGGTAAATACCAAAAGGGGAATGGCTGGTTCCCGTGATGGGTCCACATTTAACTTTTGAAGAAACTGTCAAAATGCCTTTCCAAGTGGCTGCACTGGTTTGTATATCCAGCAGCCTAGACGAAAGTTGTGGTTCCTCCCCATCCTTGCCAGCACATAATAGTGTCAGTCTTTGTCACGATAGCCATTTCTGGGAGGGGTTGTGGGAGAAATGTGCTAGAGGTGACTGGGAATAGAAGATTTTTACAAAATGTGATCCTTTTAGTCATCCCTTCAACTTATAAATATGGGTAATAGGGCTTTTCTTTTTCTCTCCAAGCAGTGACAAGGAATCATGAGTTCTCCCGTAAAACATGTGCTGAGCACATACTGTGTGTTCCCTATTGTGCCAGTTCTCGAACATAAACAGCAAACAAGACTGACACAGCTCCTGCCCTCAGAGAACTAGCTTCTACCTCGGTTTGAATTGCTTTTTTAGAAGCAGAGCCTGAGATGGGATTCAGGGTCATGTGAGTTTGGGGGAAATGTGTGAGGGAGTAAGGGACACAGGACAAGTTAGGGAAGGAGGAGGCAAGGAAGTGGGTTCAATTGGAGTGGAACCTCAGTCTGATCTGGGTGAGGGTGGAGCTCTGGAGTTTGACAACCACTAGAGCGGTCCCATTTTGGTGCAAGGGGTCTGGCCTCTTGTGTCCCATACCCTTCAGTCCTTGGTGTGGGCTTCCCGTGTGTATGTGTGTGTGTGTGTGTGTGTGTGTGTGTGTGTGTGTGTTCTGGCAGGTGTGGGACAGAACCATCCTGATGAGGCAGTTTGGTCGAGGTCAATTTACAAGGGGTGGCTAAGAGCTGTTAGCAGCCAATATTTGCAGCAGCTGGCGTGGGGATGCACCAGCCAGTAAAAATTCTCGTCAAAGCACCCACAGCATCTTTTACAAAAATGGTGTCCAGCCCGGCTGGCGTGGCTCAGTGGTTGAGCATCAACCTATGAACCAGGACGTCAGGGTTTGATTCCCGGTCAGGGCACATGCCCAGGTTGCAGGCTCGATCTCCAGCAGGAGGTGTGCAGGAGGCAGCTGATCAATGATTCTCTCTTATCACTGATGTTTCTATCTTTCTCCCTCTCCCTTCCTCTCTGAAATCAATAAAAATATATTTTAAAAAATGGTGTTCATTAGACAAATTATCACACTGACAATAATTTAATCACAGTTATGATCAACGCAGGCTACGATGAGGGCTCCATCAGAGGAAGGGAGAGGAAGGTTTTGGGGTGACAGGAAAAGGAGGGCTAAGTAATGGATCCAGAATCCTGGCTATCATGTCACTGGGGCCTGAGGATCAGCTGATCCAGACCACATTATCTGGATGGGGTCCCTCCTGAGACACCTGAAATGATTAGTTGGATGGGCTTTGGATTTATTTGGAACTATCTATTGACTTGTTGGGATTCCCCCTTAAACTGTGTCTTCCAGGAGAGCGAGGACCTAATTTTTCATTTTCCATATCCCCACATTTCAGTGCATAGGAGGCCAGAAAAGATGTGAAGAAAAAGGAACCTTGTATCATGTCATGACAGGAATACTGGAAAATGAGGAACCATGAAGGAACAGGAACCAGGAGTCCTGTGAGCTGACTGCCCATATCTAGAGGGCCCCAGAATCTTGGGACAGAAAGGGAAGTAGGGGGGTTCTCCAAGACACTTTCCAAAAAGGAAGCTGAGACTTTTTGGAAATTTAAGGAGATTAAGGTTCATAAATCAGTGGCTGAACTTGGACAGCCTTTTACTGAGCACCTTTGATATGTGGTTATTATTCTCTGCATGAGGAAGACCTTGTGATGAACAAAGCCAACCCCTGTCCACGTGGAACTTCATAAATATTAAGGGAGTAACTAGTGGCTCATTTATTCTTTTTTGATGTTAATCCTCACCCAAGGATATATTTTTTCCCACTGATTTTCAGAGAGAGAGAGAGGAAGGGGGGGGGGGAGAAAGAGAGAGAGAGAGAGAGAGAGAGAGAGAGAGAGAGAGAGAGAGAGAGAGAAACATATATTGAGAGAGACATCCATTCATTGCTTGCCTCCTGCACACTCCCTGCTCCCTGGCTGGCGCTCGAACGTGCAACCCAGACACGTGCCCTTGACCGGCCAGGCAAGCTCATTTATTCTTTATCCCATCTTAATGGTTATTATTTCCCTTTCCCAGGAAACTCAAGGCTCAGAGGTGAAGTCACTTGTACAAAGTCACATAGCCGGTAGGTGGCCAGGTCAGGATTTCACCCCAGAGCAAGTGCTCCCAACCACTTTGCTATATACTGCCCCGTAGTATTATTGTCCGAAGCATCCGACACCATTCCGTGCACCAGGCTCCGTGCTAAGGAAGGTCCTGATTCATTTATTCAACAAATGCACACTGAATACCTATTTTTGTGCAGGCACCTCCAGTTTACAGGGGACGTCTCTGAGAGAGAGGACTACACCGTCCCGCCAAGCCTCGACTGCTGGGTGTTCCACCTACGTAGGGCATTCGGTTAGTGCTCAATTAACCCAAGGGACGAAGACCATCTGTCCCCAAAGCCCGCCGCCCCGGCATCACCAAGCAGAGGTTGGGGCGGGACCACGTGTTCCCGCAGCCAACGCGCAGGCAGTTGGAAGCCCCGCCCTTGCGCATGCGCGCTGCGCGTCTTGTCGGCTCACTTTGGCGAGCGTCCCGGCGCGGTTGGAGGCGTCGGCAATGAGCGCGCGCGCCTGCGTCGACGTCGGGATCGCGCACGCGCACCTGCGCTGGCGTCAGGTTCGCGCACGCGCACACCGGCGGCAGTGGTAGCCGTTCCTGTGGGGGTCTGCGAGCGGCTGGCGGCTACGAGCAGAGCAGCGACGCTGAGGGGCTCACAGGTGGTGGCGGCGGCGGCTCGCGGCCCGACTCGCGCCGCGGTGGGCGTTTCTGTTCGGTCCAGGGGCGCGGGCGAGGCGGCGGCTGCGGCCCGAGGCCTGCGGCCTAGGCCTCAGCGCGGCGGCGGGCTCGAGTGCAGCGCGGAGCCGGCCTGCGGGCCCTGCGCGTTGGCACCATGAGCGTGGAGGCGTACGGGCCCAGCTCGCAGACGCTCACTTTCCTGGACACCGAGGAGGCTGAGCTTCTCGGCGCCGACACACAAGGCTCCGAGTTCGAGTTCACAGACTTCACCCTCCCCAGCCAGACGCAGACGCCTCCCGGAGGCCCCGGCGGCCCTGGAGGTGGCGGCCCGGGAGTCCCGGTCGGCGCGGGTGCTGGCGCTGCGGCCGGACAGCTTGACGTTCAGGTGAGCGGCACATGGCGGCGCCGGAAACCGGGCCAGGTCTTAGCGCCTGGGGACCTGCTCCGGTTCCCCGAGCCAGGCCGGCCCCCAAGTAACCTGTACCGGATCCCTCACTCCCGCCGGGTCCGAAGTAATCTGTTTCAGGAACCCCTACTCTGACCAGGTCCAGCGTAACCTATCCCGGTTGCCGCACTCCTTACTGGGCGCAGGACAGACCTGCTCCGGGTCTGTTTGCGTCTGGGTGAGCTGCCTTGAGTACCTCCGAGACCCTGTGCGGATCTAGCTCAGGCCAGGTCTTAGGTGACTTGCCACAAGTCCTCTTCTGAGCATGTCTGAGGTGACCTGCCCTAGGTCCGTCTCCGGCCAAGATGGGGTGACCTGCCCCTCCACCTGGGTCCCGGACGATCTGCCCCCTTCGGTGGAACCCGAGCCCTGCCCCACCCCCACCTGTGGTCGCAGCCATCTGGGCACCCCGCATTCACACACCGAGCCTCCAGATCAAATTTCCCCAAGCCCAGGGACTCTGGCGAGGGGAGCGTGGAGGCTCCTAGAGCAGAAGGGGAGTTTTTGCTTCCAGTGGAGAAACCCGTACTCGCTGGCTATTGATGCTATTCTAAAGGCAGGTTGCATTTTGTTTTTCCTGCTTGAATTGCCTGTTGCTGAAACCGTCGTGTTACATAACTCCATAGCCCTGCCTTGGAAAAGTTAGGTTTGAGTTTGTTCCTCCAGTGGGCAGTGATAGTGGGTTTTACGTAAATGGATCTGCTACATCGGACATTTGTTTTTAATGATATGAACATTTAGCGAAAGCTGCTTGGGTATTTTAAATTTGGGTTTGGGTTATGAGAAATAACAGGCCGGCGTACACTTCCTGGACCTGTGCGGGACCTGGCTAGGGTCTTGGGCTGCGGTCCCAGGGAATGTCACCATCATCCTCTAGATCTCAGATTCCATTCAGCAGGTTTTCCTGTGCCTGGCACTTCCCTCAAATTTATTTTCCTGAATTTTCAGCCAGGCAAGAGATACAAAGCTCACCTTCTCACAGGTGTCCCATGGCCTGAGGACCCAGTGCCAAGGCTGGGGGAGCCACCCCTTCCTCAGCCAGAATGAACTCAAAACCTGTCCTGGGTGATGGGGGCTTGCTTTCTGGTTGGGAGTCTAGTTGGTTGAGTCACTCCCGTGGGTAGGCCACCCACTTGGGCTTTCTTTTAGTCCCTTCTAGAAGCAGAAAACATTTGACTCATTCTAACCCCAGATTCCTTAAAAATAGAAGTCTGATGGGTGGGGCATCAGGGAGAACAGGTGTGCAGGTATGTATGTTTTTTTCAGTTTTGTTTATATGTGGTGGAGAGAGGAAGGAGAGAGGGGAGAGTTGGTCTGGAGAGAAGAATGAGCTGCTGGAGGTGGGTGATCATACCTGTAGTCTGGACTCTAGATTTCTCTGTTTCCACAGCTGTAAAATGTAGCATAGCAGTTTTAGTTTTTGTTTTTTTTTTTTTTTTAAATATATTTTATTGGTTTTTCACAGAGAGGAAGGGAGAGAGATAGAGAGAGTTAGAAACATCGATGAGAGAGAAACATCGATCAGCTGCCTCCTGCACATCCCCCACCGGGGATGTGCCCGCAACCCAGGTACATGCCCTTGACCGGAATCGAACCCGGGACCTCCCAGTCCGCAGGCTGACGCTCTATCCACTGAGCCAAACCGGTTTCGGCGCAGTTTTAGTTTTGTTACTTTTAAACGTATATGAAATCTGGATTCCTGTATGAATGGACCAGAAAGTGCTGTCTGTAACTTGTGCTCACCTTGTCGTGTCTGGAAGCCCTAGGATAAAGATTTCTTGGTTGAGCAGTGTGCCACCATTTGTGGGGTGGCCTGCCCTAGGTCCGTCAGGGTTGTAAAAGGTAATGGTTTTATGACAAATCCTTTTTAACTGTAGCCAATACAAAATAGCCAACCTGGAGCAGCTCTGGTTCTAGTTTTGTTCTTGGTGTTTTCGGTTAATTGAGGGCATGTCCTCTTTCAGTTGAAATAATCGATTTATTATCCTCCACCTAAACACTGACCTGTACAAAATAAAAGCTTTAAAACTTCACTGGAGGTAACCATAGCAGTTGAGCTCACTTGAGTTGTGATGATATCAAAAGAGACTGCTCTTCCTTACTGGTAGTTAACCCTGATACCCATCCTCCTGTAGCCTAACTTTTGATTTGTATTTGGGGGAGGGGAGTAATGTCCTTTATCACAAGAGGAGGCCCTGAGTTTGGGGTCAGAAAAGTTTGAATAGAATAGCAAAGTGAAAAAAAGTTTGTATCTCCTTTGCTAGTTGGTGGCATTGGCTACCTACAGCATTTGGAAAGATTTTTCTTGTTTGTCCTCAGGAGTTAACTGTATGATGGGGCCTTTTGATCAGAATTCCTTTTGATCTTATTGGATGAGTGGTTGTAAAGCATCAATTGTTGTGTAGCCAGTTTTGTATGGACAGATCACATTTTGTTTATCCACATGTCTGTTGGTGGACATTGGGGTTGTTCGCACTTTTACTTATGTATAGTGCTGCTGTGAACCTTGGTGTACAAGGTTCTTTGTGGATGTATGTCTTGAGTAAAATTGCTGGGTAACTCCTTCAGGAGCTGCCAGACTGTTTTCCAATGTGCAGCCACTTTTGATAGTCCTGACTGCCAGTTTTGCACAGTTGGTTTTACCTGAAAGTTTGTTTAGAGGCAGAATGAGAGAATGTCCCAGCCAGGGTGAGAGAATGGCAGGCAGGGGTGACACCTGCTGAGTTCTTGAGTTGGTTCAAGTAACACTCATTTTCTTGTTTGTGAAATGAAACTGATATTTATCAAGTCCCTCCAGATCCTGGGATGAAAAGTGGTGAGGACACAGCCTTGCCAAGTGTCGTTAAGACAGTTTTCTTTTGCACAGCTGACGCTTTTCGTGGGTTTTTCCCCCACCCCCAAAGGACGGGGAAAGGTAGTTTCAGAAGTCCTTTGCCTAATAGCTGGTGTTACAACCCTTCTGGTCTGTCTAGTTGAATTATTTCTTCTTAACTGTTGCTACAATTGTTTTTCCTCCAAACATTGGAATTTTGGTGAAAATCTAAGAGTTGGGAGTACTACCTAATCAAAATAAAGAATGAACTGTTGATATATGCAACAGTGTGGATGCATCTTAGAATAATTACACTGAGTGAAAAAAGCACTTTGACAAAAATGATGAACCCATTGTAAGTTGAAAATATCATAATTCGGAAATGCATTTAATACAGCTAACCTACTAAATGCTATAGCTTAGCCTCTCCTACCTTAAATTTGCTCAGAACACTTACATTAGCCTACAGTTGGCAAAATCATCTTCCTGCAGCTGCCCAGCATCATGAGAGTATATCGTACCACATATCACTAGTCCAGGAAAAGATAAAAATTTAAAGTATGGTTGTACTGAATGCGCATTGCTTTCTCACCATCATAAAGTAAAAAAAATCATAATTCTGGGGACTGTCTGTATATACTCTTTATGATTCTGGTGATATAAAGTTCTATAAAGTGCTAGTGGACTTTGAGTAATAGAAAGCAGGTCTCTGGTTGAGAGAGGGGAAGAAAAGGAAGGATGGCAAAGGGCACTAGGGGATTTGGGGTGGTGAATATGGGTGTGTACAGCCATTGACATCTGTCAACTTATAAAATTAAACACTTTAAACATGTCATTTATTGTATGTCAGTTGTATCTCACTGTAAGATAAAAACCACATGGAGATACCACTGCCCACTTATTGGAGTGGCTCCGTTTTTTTGTTTTTAAAAAGTTGGAAATACCACTTGGAACTCTCCTACCTTACCGGTCACCCACAGCTCTGTGGCCCAGCAGGGAAACAAGGCAGTTGCCCAAATGGGGACCTGCTCGGAGTGTTACAGCAGCTTCGTTCATGAGAGCTCCAGACTGGAAACAACCCCGTGGCCGTAAACAGGTGACCAGGTACACAAAGACGCTTCCTCAGTTGTAGTCCTGAGTGCACAAACCTGGGCTGCTTTTTCCTTTTCAAGTGGGAAGATACTTTAATAAAGAGTTGTAACCTGTTCTTCAAAACCATACTTCCTGCTGCCTTCAGAATTCATGGAAGGCTGTCCCCACATATCCTTGACCATCAGGGAAACATATTTTCTTCTGCTTACTAGCCTGTAGCTTACGATGAGGAGGAGTGACACAGTTCAGGGGTTCCTAAAAGCAGTGACTTTTTCCATCTGGTTTTGTGAATATGCAGTTCAGCATGCCTTGAGAATATCAGAGATAAGACACTGGTAACCTTGCCGGAGTCCAGCAGATGTTCATCTATCACTTTCTCCTTGTTGTATTTCCCAGGTTTGTTTCCAAATAGTGAGAACTCAACTAGCAATTAGAACAAAAGAAGGTTTTGTGTCAGTTAATGGTGAATAAGTGAAATGACTTCTTACTCAATTTACCCATTTCTTCACCTAGATTCAGGAAGATTATGAGGGAAATTAATGCCAATGCAATACCAATATTAACTAAAAACTAAAGTTCTCTCTCAGTCCAGCTTCCACATACCAGAAAAAGACACCTTTCTAGAGCCCTCTCATTTTTAAATGTGCAAGTCAGTGTTTTTCTAGTAAATTCCCGGGGCTATCTGACCATCACCATAGTCACTTGCTGCCTTTGATTTGTCCTTCATGCCACCTTTTCTTTCCTTCATTTTTAAATTTATTTATTTTTTGTTTGTTAATTCTCACCCGGGGATATTTTTCCATTGATTTTTAGAGAGAAGATGGGGGGTGGGGGGGGGGCGGAGAGAAACATCTATGTAAGAGAGACACATCAATTGCTTGTGGCGCCCCCCCCCCCCCCATCCCGAACCAGGGCCAGGGATCGAACTTGCAACTCAGGTACGTGCCCTTGACCAAAAATGAACCCACTGAGCCACACAGGACAAGGCCCCTCCATTTTTGCTCTTGTTCATCTTTATAGTCTTTGGTCAACAGCT